ATGTAATGCAAACCTGCGCATGCGCGTCTCACGGCAACCGAAGCATACCAAGATGGCGGACCGTGAATTGCTTTAAAAGTTGAAATACGAACGAATTAAGACACAAATGTCACTTTTAATGCAATTTGAGGCGAGATGTTGATGGTCCCGTTTTGTCACATGTGGGTTTTAAGAGTCAGTTTTGTGTAAAGTTTAGTTTAAGCAGTCAACTGCGCCTGTGAAACCACAAAGCTAATGTTTTCATAGCAGTCCGCGGCTGCTGACGTAGGCTGATGACGCGTCCTGTGGCCACTCTACACTCTACACTGGTCTGTCGGGTTGATAATGGAAATAATAAATTTCATTCAATACATGTATCGTACTGTATTTAATATGATTAACAATAGTGTGTTCAAACAAAATATTTAATTAGATTGATTTTTTTCCCCATTTTCCATTATCAACCCGACAGACCAGTGTAGAGTGTAGAGTGGCCACAGGACGCGTCATCAGCCTACGTCAGCAGCCGCGGACTGCTATGAAAACATTAGCTTTGTGGTTTCACAGGCGCAGTTGACTGCTTAAACTAAACTTTGCACGAAACTTTGACTCTTAAAACCCACATGTGACAAAACAGAACCATCAACATCTCGCCTCAAATTGCATTAAAAGTGGCATTCGTGTCTTAATTCGTTCGTATTTCAACTTTTAAAGCAATTCACGGTCCGCCATCTTGGTATGCTTCGGTTGCCGTGAGATGCGCATGCGCAGCTTTGCATTACATCATAAACAGCTGAGGCAGTGCATCTCTTCAAGACAGTGTATCTCGGCGTTAAGGGGCGTTCACACCGGACTTAACTTCGGCGTCAAAAGCGTCAGGTTTGCATTGAAAGTGAATGGTGAAGCGCGTCAGGTGAAGCCGAGAGCCCCGGCGTCACTTGACGCGCGTCAAAAGCTTCAAGAGTCGCGCGTACTACGCGCTCACTTGAAGCTTTTGACGCGCGAAACGCTCGCGTATCACAACAATCCCTTTGACGCCGAAGTTGAGCAAAGCTGAGCTTTTGAAGCTTTGACGCGGGCTTCAACCAATCAGGAGACGAGGAGCAGCAGCAGCAGCAGAGGGTTTGTCTCTGTCATGAAGAGAAGTCATGTAGCTGCTGGTGTTTTATTGTTATTAGTAATATTATTTGTATGAGTAGTAACATTCTGAGTAACAAAATCATTGTACACATGCTGTGTAGTAAACGTAGTTTATTTAAAATAAGAACATGCTGACGATGAGTCTGGCTCAGAACAAGGCAGCTCCGGGCGGGCGAGAGGCAGGGAGAGGCAGGGAGAGGCGAGAGCGAGGCGGGGAGAGGCTAGCTCCGGGGTTTGAGAACTCAAACCGGGCGAGTGACATGCGGAAGTACCGCTGAAAGCGAGACTCCTCCGTACGCAGCTCCTGGAGTAAATGACGGAACTCTGCAAACACTGCAGCCTCTCAAGTCTGTGGTGAACCCAGAACATGTTTTGTTGAAGCCCTACAACGTTATTTTGCTTTATATAACAAATAAAGGCTCGCTGCTCATTGAAAAATCCACCGCTGTCCTGACTACAGACAACAGAGAAGCTCCTCCCACCGGCGTCAGGCGCGTCACTCGCGTCAAAAGCTTCAAGCACCAAAATGACAAAACTATCCCGGCGTCAGTTGAAGCGCGTCAAAAGCTTTTTGAAGCTTTTGGTCTGAACGCGCCTTTACACCTGTATAACAAGCTTCAAAAGTCGCGCGTAATACGCGCTCACTTGAAGCTTTTGACGCGCGAAACGCTCGCGTATCACAACAATCCCTCTGACGCCGAATATGAGCAAAGCTGAGCTTTTGAAGCTTTGACGCGGGCTTCAACCAATCGGGAGACGAGGAGGAGCAGCAGCAGCAGAGGGTCTGTCTCTGTCATGGAGAGAAGTCATGTATCTGCTGCTGCTGTTTTATTGTCATTTTTGTTATTGAGTGGCTGCATAGACTATGCAGCCACTATATGCTCTCCTACTGTTTATTCTTCTTCCACTTCCGCCAGATTTTGGCACTTTTCAACGCTTTCACCAAATTCAACAAATTATACATCGTTACGACCGGCTTCACCGTCTCATTATTGCTATTACTTTTCACACTTCCACCTTTTGCACTTTTTCAGATATTAACAAAAGTTCAAGCACTTTTTCCCATAGACTTACATTGGACCAGTGCAACAGATTACTCCCCATACAACACATTATCACACTAACAATTCATTACCACAGATACAATACATTACAACATCTTACAACACTAACAGCACCTTACAACACTTTCAGCCCCTTACAACTGCATTCTTCTAATTTCATCTTCTTCACTTCTTCCCTTCATCCCCTTCTTCCCCTTCTTCCTCTTCTTCTTCTTTCCTCTTCTTCCCTTTTCTTTCTTCTTCTTTCCCTTCTTCTTCCTTCTTCATCCCTAACCCTTCCAACATCTATGCAGCCACTCACAATGGCTTCAGCCATTGTACCATTTCTAGTTAGTAATATTATTTGTATGAGTAGTAACGTTCTGAGTAACAAAAATCATTGTACACATGCTGTGTAGTAAACGTAGTTTATTTAATATAAGAACAGGCTGACGATGAGTCTGGCTCAGAGCAAGGCAGGGAGAGGCGAGCGAGAGCCGGGGAGAGGCAGGGAGAGGCGAGAGCGAGGCGAGAAGAGGCGAGCCCGGGGTTTGAGAACTCAGACTGGGCGAGTGACATAAGGAAGTACCGCTGAAAGCGAAACTCCTCCGTACGCAGCTCCTGGAGTAAATGACGGAACTCTGCAAACACTGCAGCCTCTCAAGTCTGTGGTGAACCCAGAACATGTTTTGTTGAAGCCCTACAACGTTATTTTGCTTTATATAACAAATAAAGGCTCGCTGCTCATTGAAAAATCCACCGCTGTCCTGACTACAGACAACAGAGAAGCTCCTCCCACCGGCGTCAGGCGCGTCACTCGCGTCAAAAGCTTCAAGCACCAAAATGACAACTATACACACCTGTGACAGTTGAAGCGCGTCAAAAGCTTTTTGAAGCTTTTGGTCTGAACGCGCCTGAGTGAAAGAAAACCGAAGCGCCTTTTAGCGTCCAGAAAGTGCTGTATAAAAGCAATGTACTATTATCAAATGGACACTTTATTGACCCCCGTAGGAGAAATTCAGGTGTCCAGCAGCAGAAACGTATCCAAACACACACAACAAATGATAAATAAATAAATCTAAATCAGAGGTGTCCAAACCGGTCCAGAAAGGGCCGCTGTGGCTGCAGACTTTCTATCAGACCCAAGGAAATGGGTGGAGTATGTTCTGCTCCTGCTGGATCTGATAGAAAATCGGCAGCCACAGCGGACCTTTCTGGACCGGTTTGGACACCTCTGATCTAAATAAAGCTGACAATAGTATTAAGGTCACAGCAGCAGAGGTTCGGAGCTAATTGGTTTGGACCAGAGTGAAATTCGGAATGCTTTATTAGCATTAAAAACTAAAAAATCCTTCCTCCAGTGGATTTCCTCTTGATCTGTTTGGTTGGGACCATCCTCTCTGCTCTGGTCTGAATCAGCCTTAAACCATGAACACTTTTCTGCAGTAACATTTACAAATATTTCTTTTTCTTGCTTTTTTCTATTGTAAAACACAAACCAACTGTTTCAGAGACTTACAACTTGCTGCTGTTTTCAGCGCATTCAAAAGTGTGGAAAGAGAAGAACGGCCTGATCCTAAATGTGTCTGAAACTCAACAGATGATAGACAGAGAAATGCAGCTTTTCATAGGTCCTCAAGTTCATTATTTGTTATAGTGTCACATCGTTCAGAGAGCAGCGAGGAATATTGGCCCTTCTCTTATACAGTGGTGTGTGAGAAGATGGTCCTGAACCAGAGCAGACACTGACCTCACTCATGAGTTTTAGCTGCAATTGTGTAACTGGACAGATACAAACATTCTGACTCCATTTCTCCATCGTTCTGTGAGAAATGTGATCTTTATGTGCAATAATATAGAAAACTATGTTATACTTATTCATGATGGTCCTTTGCTGGTCTGAACAGGTCTGTACTACAGCACCAGGTGCACATGGTGCCTTCACTGTGGATACTCTGGTCCAGTTCATGGTTTTGTGATTGAACCAAGATCATTGTCCGCTGTCCTATTCTGGTCTGCTGTCCTATTCTGGTCCGCTGTCCCCTTCTGGTCCTCTGTTCCCATCGTTTGTCCAAGGTAAAGGTATATACTTTATGTCAAGAGGCAATAAAGACTTATCTAATCTACTTTAGTAATCTGATCCCTGTAACTCATCCGTGTGGCATTACTTTGAAATGAGATTAAAGTCTCCCAATACCACCAAGTAATATGTGTGTAAGTACCAGTAGGGGCGGGTTTCGGCTCAAAAGTGGCCAAAATGACGGACGCTGACATGCTTGCAATACCACCCCGGGCCGATGGGGGTGGACCCAGAAGTAGAATTAGCCAATGCTAACATATAGCATTGGCGGACCTCTTGAAAACGTCTTTACAGGATGGTCCAAAAGCTGGCTCTTGGCCCAAAGCTCCGTTCCACATGTGTGTCAATGCTTTTTGGACCACTCTGGTTTAGTCGCTGTGAATTTTTGAAGTCTCTCGTTCAAATGAATGGAGCTGCGCCGGCTGACTCATGCGCAGATGCGTTTTTTCACAATTTTCTTGTGGGCGGGACCACTCGCGGCCATTTTGGATTGCTCCAGTAGAGCAAATTTGTTGGCCCATTAGTTAGAACGGCAGAGATAGGCGTGACTCTGTCCATTAATATATACAGTCTATGGTAAGTACTAATGTTAGTACTTAGTATAATAAGATAAATAAGTAGCACAGTCAGGGTGCAGTGATGTCACATGTGGTTAAACTGATTTCTTAATGTACTGTCATCTGCCTAAGTCTTTGATCTGTCTGGTTTTTCTGTCCTCAGTCCGATCTGTCCTCACAGGGAGTGTCCTCAGATGGAAGATGAGTGCCAAAGCCAAGAAGAAACACAGGTGAGGGCTGTGCCATCATGACAAAAATATTGAATTGTGGATATTCTGACAAACATAAAAACTCAATCAGTCCAACCAAAAGTACACCACTGCAAAAAATGATATAATAATTGCTGAAAGATGTATGGGAGGAGTTTCTACTTCTGGGTGGATCATCAAGACTATTTGTCCTCCCAGCTGTCAATCATTCTGGTGCTACGTGCTCGTCAAATAAGACCAGAGAGTTTGGATCAAAAAGTGGAAAGGGCGGTTCTTTCGTAAAATTTGGGGAAATCCTCCTTTTATACCTTTTGTGTTTTTATTTTATCTATTTTTGTTATCAATCTTTTCATCTTAATCTGAGCACATATTTGACTGTGTTAAAAGAAGCTTCTCCAATGGGACAAATACATTTAGTCTTATTTAAAGAACTACTCAAGGGAGACATTTCTGTCTTTTAAAACAATATAATTTTGCGCTTTTCGAGCAATTACTTTTCATCACTTTTTGTAGTAAAGATGTATAAATAGAAGTACTTGATATAATATTGAATAATGTATTGAGAAAATAAATGTATGCGAGAACCATTCCAGAGAGACGGTAGATGTGAAGGTTGAGTGGTCCGAATGACAACACAACCAATGCGGCTGTGTGTCCTTGGGCAAGACACTTAACCAGTGTCTTCTGGGTGTGTGTGAATGGATGATTGGTTGCCTGATGTGAAGCACTTTGATCTCCTTGAAAAGTACGAAAGTGGTGCATAACTGTGGCCATCTACGACCACTTTTATCTTTTATTTCCTGTGTGGCACTGCTGATCCTCTGTTTCATACGACACGGGACTGAGTGAGAAGCACTCGGGCCTCACAGCAACAAGGTCACAGGTTTGAATCTCTGTAGAGTTTCTCTCGGTGTCGAGGTGGGTTTCCTCCGGGCACTCATCCATAATAAGTACATCCTCCAGCTCCAGTCGTGACGAGAGACATCTGCAGATGGGTCCTTGTTGGCAGAGGTGATCCAGCAGCAGCATCGCGTCGTGAACCCGAATAAAACTTATTCATGCGATTACACGTAATCAACTCGGCTGCAGAGCTGGGTAATTTATTAACACGCCCATCAGTAAACATAAATACCATCGCAAACATTCATATATATATATATATATATATATATATTATATATATATATATAGTAATAGTGAGAGCACCAACTCAACAGTCCTGTAGTGACCACTTTAAAGAGGGTTTTGTCCTGAAAAACGTCAGAACCAGATTTTTCAGTGTGTGTGTGTTGTGTCCAGGGGCTTTGGGCCGACTGCACCCCCGTTCCTGGACTATCTCAAAGACATCCTGCGACGCTACCCTGACGGCGGACAGATCCTTAAGGTACGCCATCCAACAGCACCATCCATGCTGCCGTCTGTAAACGCTCATCAGGTTATATTCAACAGGAACTGATTCAAAATGCTGATGACGCCAACGCCACTGAAGTCAGATTCATCCACGACGACAGAAGCTACGGGACACAGAGCCTCTGCAACCAACACTTGGCAAAATACCAAGGTGCCAAATACATATGACTGGTATATTTAACCCCTGGTAACCACCCCTGACCCAGAAAGAGGGCATGAAAATAATAATCCACGACTCAGACGTTTAATCCGCTTATACCATGGTCCTGTGAATTTAATTGTGTAACATGTTTATTGACTTTACTACTACTGAGGTTTATTCATATAGCGCATTTTACAGACCAAGGTCGCCCAAAGCACGTTACGATTGTTCAGAGTTTAGATATTTATCCCATTCTCTCCACACACGGCGATGATCGAACACACTGGCGCATCAAAGCCCCAACCAACACCATTCACTCACTCATTTCATTCATACCTATTGAACTGGCCAAATATGCTTAAGTATAGGGTTTATTTAACAAGTCTAAAACAAAACTTTTGCCTCAACAACAGTCGTAAAGCGAAATGGGAACTACTTTTTAGTAAGACAGACCAAATAGGTATTGTTGCTTTTCGTTCTCCTCTTCTTCCCGTTCCTCAAAGGTTTTATGTTCAAATTCACCTCAAAATTCATGTTATCTGGTGCTATTGGGCCCTGTCTCTATCCCCACACTGAACCCTACTCTCCTCTACAAAGTGTGCATTTGTTTGAAGTGTACCCAAGGGTTTGAGTGTGCAGGTTACTAGCATGCAAAAAAGGCTTTGGGACAGTGCAGGTTAAGTCATCGATTTGACAAGAGATGGTCGTTTTCAAACCTAAACTTTATGAAAATTTAAAGGTAATTTTGTCTGACCCTGTAGGGAGACAAAATGAGTTGCTCCACACACGTTATATGTATATTGATTATTCGTAATTTGAGATGGTTGTATAATTTTAAGTTAAATGTGGGTAATTAACAGTTTTCTGGTAAGTTTTTATAAATCCTAAGTGTAAAGTTTAAATTGAATGTAATATGAACACTTGCTTTAAAAAAGTTTTGAAATTGTTACCATAGAAAATACATTTATGCTGCTTTCCAAGTAGGGATGTGAATCGGTGACCGTTTAACCGGTGGTTGACCGTCACAGCGTTAACCGGTCAAAGCTGTCGGTTAAAAAAAAGGGGAAGAGGGGTCGTCTCTTCATAACGCTATTTTAAGCCCTATTTGCACGATGTGATGAGCGGGTCCGTCTCCAGCTGTGTGCGGCAATGTATCAGTAAACTCTGAGCCGACTTTCATGTTGCAAGTGCCACATAAACGCACGCACGCACACACACACATTTCTCCCCCTCCATTGATACGTAACCTCCACACGCATAATTTCTCCTCTGTTACCGTCAAAGTTTACAGACACAGGTCTGTCGCGCTCGTCTGTCACACAGCCCAAAGGGTCCTTGCAAATACGCAGCTTCAGTCAAACCACATGGGAAAACCTGTTTGTGCTGATGGTCCTTGGTGATGTGTGTGGATCACTTGTATTAAAACTTTAGCAGAGACGTGTCACTCGCTGCTCTGACCATGTGAACGAGCCGTAGTTTGCTTAAAAATGCTTTAACAGCATTTTAAAGCAGCACAGAAGAATGGGAAGGTTAAAAAGCAGTTCTCTGTGCGCAAAGGTGCCGAAGCTGTTGCGGGTTTTGGCGCCGCTGTCTCTGCTCTGATCCAGCAGAACGCATAGCTGCAGTTATAAAAAATACGCGGCTCGAAATGGCTGTTATATGAAAGAACCTGGGATATTTTAAACTACACGGTCAACCGGTTAATGAGGCTCGGTGGTCGGTCATGAAAATTCTGTTTTTTACATCCCTATTTCCAAGTAACATAGAAAAACTTATTTACACACACACAGCATATACAGGTATAAAAATAAAGATTACTCACTATATATGTTTCAAAACTTACACTGCATTTTCCCAATGTTTTGGTGTGTACCGCAAAGAATTAGGGGCAATATCCTTCGCCAGAGTCTGTCGTAGCCTGCATCTAAGCAGAGTGTGGATCAGGGGCGCGAAGGGGCAGGACAAAAGACCTCCCTGGAGAATTGGGACACCCTACGCACTCGCGCAAATGAGAGGCGCAAGGGTGGAAGTACGAGTATTTGGACGGGGCCTTAGTTTCTACGGCTTGTCACCTAATTGACAGCTGTTACAGTTACTATGGCAACAACTGTGGCAGAGGAAGATAGAGCATGATTTAAAACTTTCCGGAACTACGTGTGTGTTATACAAAAATAATGGGCCGCAGTTAGCATTGGAATTCTCACAGACCATGGTATAAATGTTTGTATTATTTACCGTCCAATGAATGAGAATAGTATGTTTTTCTGATAAGGCAAGAGTAATGAGGTTTGGGGCTGTTTTTGAAGCAATACCCTCAAGTTGTGATCCTAGTATGGCTACAGCTGGGTCGAACTGGATATTAATGTTGGCACAAGTAGTTCCTGTAGAAAGAGCAGGTATCGCACACCCTAAAAATCATTCATGAGGTCCAGATGCAAGAAGTTTCAGGAAACAGGGTAGCATTGCACACTCAGCTCAGATGTCTAAAATTGTATTTATTCGTAACGTTTCGGCTTTATGCCTTCATCAGATCATATTTTTCTTTTAACCACAAATGGTATTTTGTGGTAAAAAAATAAATAAACTAGTTCTTAACATTATTTCAAAACATTTAACTCTGGGCAGTGCTACAGTTGGTACAGAAGAGCCCGTGGAGTGATATAGATTCATACAATATCCACCATATGCACAGTTGAAGAAAATCCTGGTTCCAGACGATGATCAAAAGTCAAATCAGTATATTCTGCAGCAACCCCCTCCACATCACTCATCGGCTCATCTTTGCTCCTTCTCTTTAGCTCTTACCAATAAACGCCATTCTAATGACCCCTTTGTCGAGTCTCTCCAGATTGAGCTGTGACTGCACTTTGCTGAACGCCACAGAGGACAAATGTTCCTATGACCTTAAATGTTTTAGGTGGATTTTTCTCTGAACAAAATTAATGCATGCTTTTTGTACTGATTTTGTTAGATTACAGACGAATTTAAAAAAACTTCATAGAAAAGAAAGCGAGACATTCCTCGGTATAACATAGATCAGTTAAAAGTTGTGGCCTCGATCAGCTCGTTTTTTCAATGTTTCATTTTATCAATATATTTCAGACGTTTTTGACAATTCAAAATAAAATTCAGACACTTGTATGGAGGACCATAACATAGAAATATGACAATTCATTGAACATTTATTTATTGATAGGTGTTTTTAAAAAATACATGCATTTGTTTGCAAATTAAATCTATCAATAAACTTGTATTTATATATTTTTGTGTATATACAGTACAGACCAAAAGTTTGGACACACTTTCTCATTCAATAAGCTTCCTTTCTTTTCATGACCATAGACTGTAGATCCACACCAGGCTGTGTAAGGGCTGTTTGACCAATAAGGAGAGTGATGGTGCTGGGCCAAATGACCCGGCCTCCAGTCACCGGCCCTGAACCCAGTCCAGATGGTTTTGGGGGGAGCTGGACCACAGAGTGAAGGGGAAAAGGCCAACAAGTGCTAAGCAACATAGCCATGTTCCAGCTTCTTCCCTCTGGCAGAAGATATCGCTCTCTGAGATGCAGGACATCTCGTTACGCTAACAGTTTTTATCCACAAGCTGTTATCAGTGTGAACAGAGCACTTTAATGATTTGCACTTGTTTTGAAACTGTTTTAGTCGATCGATTTCACAGTGACATTTGTTTACTGTTTTATTTGTTTTATTTTTGTCTTTTAATGTTTTATGTCTGTATTTGTCTGTGCACACTGGAGACTTTTTCTAATGTATTCCTATGTGGGGTTTTTTTTTACTGCAAATGGCAAATAAACTGAATCTGAACTCCTTCAAGACTGTTGACCATTTCAGGTCCTCTTGAAGCTCATCAAGAGAATGCCAAGAGTGAAGCAGTATCAGAGCAAAAGGAGCTACTTTGAGGAACCCAGAATATAAGACATTTTCAGTTTCATACTTTTTTTTTTTAGTACGTACATAATTCCACATGAGTTCATTCATAGTTTTCATGCCTTCAGTGTGAATACAATTTTCATAATCATGAAAATAAACTCTTTGAGAAGGTGTGTCCAAACTTTTGGTCTGTACTGTATATGTACACACTTATTTATACTTAAACTACTAAATACATAAATATAAATATATTTGTTCACTTTTTTACAACTCGTACAATACAGGTTATGTGAACAAATTAAAAATAAAGCTGATTGAAAGGTTTTAGGCTGAAGTGAAACACTTATAGAAGCCTGACCCTATTACTACAGCTTACTATAACCATGAACAACAAAAACGGCAAAATTCAGCATGGAGAAAACAATAGAAAATACATATATCTTTGCAAAAAAGACATGTAGGTAAATGAGGATTTATACAAATTGTTTAGATGGGTAAGTCAAGAACAATATTTAGAAATTATCCATCCATCCATCTTCTTCCAGTACACAGCACCAGTCCCTCACTGATCCTCCTGCAGGTGCTGAGGCCACAGGAGCTGAGATCGTTCAGTGGGGGCTTCAGGCAAAGTGGGTTAAGGGTCTTGCCCAAGAACACAACGACAGCAGACATCAGTGGGATAATAATTAAGAATAATAATTAAGAAAAACATTAATTTATGAGTATATATAGAGAATTAGAATAAATAATATTACAGCAATTATCAATATTATTATTTAGAAATTATAATAATATTGATAATTGCTTCAATATTATTTATTTATTCTAACTCTCTATATTTACTCATACATTTAATTTTTAGGACGTTTTTGAACATCTTGATTGATGTAGTTTTCTTTAGTGAGTCATCCAGACCATTCCAGACAGGAACTCCTCTGACAGAGACACATCTACACTTTGCATTGGTCCTGGCAGTGAAACCTATCCAGGAAAGGTTTTGAACCTTTCCTGGATACATGTAGGGACGTTCTGATTGTGAACACTGTACATGACGACTGCTGTATTTAGGTCGACTATATCATGTAATTTTTGATTTTCATTAATAATGGATTTGATGGTGAATGATAGTCTGCACAATTGATCATTCTGATTGCTTTCTTTTGCATTTAGAAGAGGCTGAATTGAGTTTTTCTGATTATTCCCTGATATTACCACACAATTATGCAAGTATGGCAGTATTAGGGAAGTGTATTTATAAGTGTAACAATCCATCCATCCATCCATTTTCTTCCCCTTAATCCATTTCTTGGGTCGGGGGGGTGGCAGTCAGAGCTGCACCCAGTCCACAGAGCACCAGCCCCTCACTGATCCTCCTGCAGGTGGTGAGTCCACAGGAGCTGAGATCTTTCAGTTGGGGCTTTGGGCAAAGTAGGGTTAAGTGTCTTGCCCAAGGACACAACGACAGCAGTCATCAGTGGGAGTCGTGAAGTAGGTCTTACGGTGGGCTCGAACCCACGACCTTCAGGCCCAAAGGCCAATGCTCTACCAACTGAGCTACTGTCGCCCCTAGTGTAACAATATTTTGTTAATTACTTTTTTAATCTTGCACAATATTCAATTCAAATGAATGGTTTGTGCTCAATGGCCCATTGTGCCGGCATGAGGGCTGAAAGATTAGCAGAAGTCGCCTGGAGCTCTCAAAGATCCATGGGAAACTCGCCTGTATTTGGGCATCGTCTTGTCCTCCTGGTTCTGCGCAGTGGATGAACTCCCATAATGCGTGGGGGCAAATACATGTGTCTGGCTCTCAAGCACGTGCACAGAGGGGCTTGGCCGCGCTCTGACCAATCAGAGCGGGAGCCAGAAGGGCAGAGTTTGTGGCACTAAAGTGTGGATTTAAAGAAAACCGACGGATTGAAGAAGAAAAAAAGTTCAGGATGACAAGGGACACTAAAATCTGCACAAAACACGACCTTTAGGAAAGCTGTAGGGTCTCTGTCAGCTGAGGGCGAGCTGTTTTAGTTTACATCGAGATTCGTGGGGAAAATTTCTGTGTAGCCCACATGAATTTGGTCTGGTTCAGTCTGCAGTACCGCGAGAATCCCCCGAGCACATGGGTTCTTCAGCTCCAAGCCAGTAATACCCTATCCAGTTATTATAACAGATCCATGGGATGCAGCGTGGCTCTCGCCAGACCCTTGTAGTTCCGCCATGCTCCAACAGAGGCGTTTCGCTTGTGAGAAGCGCAGCGATCTACAAGGGTCTGGCGAGAGTCGGGCTATGCACTTATATTTTTCTTTTTCTAATTGAAAGACTTTTGCGACTACTTTGACTGCACACTTGTTCCCTGTGATGCCCTCCCCTACTGTGCAAAGTAACATTCACTTTTACGGTGGAAAAACATTGGTCCAAAATTCACTTTTTGAATGTTACTTTTTTCCCCGATTACTACGGTCTGGGGAGAGCGCCATGAAGCCTCTGTGCATAAAGAACAGCCTGACTGTTTATACTTGTGTCCATGGATTAGTTCATAGAAGCACAGACAGCATTGATAGGCAAGGCAAGTTTATTTGTATAGCACATTTCATACACAAGGAAACTCAAACTGCTGAACAAAATAAGAAAGCATTAAAATCATAAAT